TCTCTGTGTTTTAAGATTCACTTATTCATGTTGATGGAAAATATTAACACTATAACCATTGTACAGTCTTGATCAATGTATAAATCACTGATTACAATGATTTGGTGCTAATAATTTCATTGAACAGAATCTAATGGTGATGGCGCAATCTTCTAGTGGGAGAACGTTGGCCATATTATGATAATTTAGTGACGTAATATAATCATGCAAGCCAAGTGGGAGATTGTAAGAATTTTTTCAATATATGGCTTAATGTGGCTTATGCATGATTATACTAGATTCATCTCATTAAGTAAGATACATGTACATCAATTAGATGGTGACTAATTATTGATGAATCCACCTATATATACAATGTATAGAAGACTAACGCTAATGCACATTGAATGTGATGGATTCATTATGAATGAATCTTAGAGATGCATTATGTATCTATTATGAATATGTAAGATACATTACGTCACTAAATAGATACATAATGCATATTCATAATAGATACATAATGCATCTCTAAGATTCATTCATAATGAATCCATCACATTCAATGTGCATCTCTAGGATTCATTCATAATGAATCCATTACATTCAATGTGCATTAGCATTAGTCTTCTATACATTGTATATATAGGTGCATTCATCAATAATTAGTCACCATCTAATTGATGTACATATATTTTACTTAATGAGATGAATCTAGTATAATCATGCATAAGCCACATTAAGCCATATATTGAAAAAATTCTTACACTTGTCACAACATCCTCTTCTAAATAATGGTCTAACTCTGATGTTACATTGTTGACTTTTTTTCTTTGTTTTCTACTAATAAACAAATCATAATCTGAAACTACCTATGAATCCCCAAAATTTGAACTTGTAAAAGATTCAACATTAGCATCAGTCCCCAAACTAAGTTTTCTTTGATACTCTTGCAACAAATCATAACAAAGTTGGCGAATCTTCGCAATTTCCTCTTCAGCTATATCTTCATAAAGTTTATCAAAATAAAACTCCAATACACTAAGTTTGTACCTAGGATCATGTACAACAACAACCCCTATAAGACCATGTATAACAACCCAATAATTGTCAAACTTTCCCAACATTTTTGATGCCATTGATCCAATAACCTCAATTGAACAAGAGAGCCATTGGGAGATAGTTATCCTAATCTCACATAAATTTGGAAAAGCAACATTAGCTGTGGGATATTTAGTTCCAGAAAACAATTCAGTTGCTTTATAAAATATTTTAAATTTCCTACAAATTTCTCTTGCGAACTCTCACTCCTCTTCACTTGGCAATGTTGTATATTGGGTCTCTTTATATTTCAAACGGTAAAATCCATCCTTATATAACAAGGCCGTTTGAAGCATCAAATATGTTGAATTCCTCCTAATAGCATAATCAAGTCCCATCTTTTTAGTATTCAAATTTTTCACTTGACGAGCTGTTTCTTCAAATTTTTCTACTCTTTTAGGAGTTACTGTCCAATAAGTTACACTATCCCGAATTTTCTCTACACCTACTCTTATCACATCCAATCCATCTTTGACAATCAAATTGAGAATATGTGCGCAACAACGCATATGAAACAAAGTCTCACCCAAAAGAAGAGAACTACTATCCAATTTATTCAACAAAATGTTAATCATCGCATCATTGGTAGAACAATTATCAACAATGATAGCAGATACTTTTCTATCAAGATCCCAATCCATCAAACAATTGAATAAAGTATCACAAAGAACTTCTTTTGTGTGTGGACATATAACATAAATGAACCTAAAATCATAAATTAATTTATATGCATATAATATATGATGCAACAACAATCTGTAATAAAGCATAGATTAATTTATATGCCAAAATATACCTCAAAATATGGCTTTGCAATGACCAAGAATTATCAATAAAGTGTGTCGTGACCACCATGAACTCTTTCTTTTGATTACTAGAAGTCCACATATTAGTTGTGATAGCCACTTTACTTTGATTACTCTATACCAATCTCATTATCTTCTCATTCTCATTGTCATAGATCTTCAAAATATCACTTTTATTGTGTTTCGAGAAGGTACTTTAAACAATGGTTAAAGTGCCATCGAATATCTTTTGAACCCAATATGATCCACAATAGACAAAGGGTATTCATGCAAGATTATGGCATTTGAAACTCTCTCCTAGCAATATCTTTATCAAAACTATTAGAGACTTTCGGACTCTCCTTGTTAAAGTTGCTAGTTAAAACTCTTTGCCTCATGTCCATTTCCTTCATTTTCTTAAGACAACTCCTATAGTGATCACGCAAATGTGAAGTTCTATGCTTCGGATTACCCCCAACATGCTTCTTACAATAATTACATATGGCTTTCCATACGCCATCAATTTCTTTTTTCTTATAGTCTTGTCACACAAAACTAGGGTTTTTTCTAGTAGCTAAACTAAAATCAGAATCATCTACATCAAGGACATTTTGATTTGGGGGGGGGGGAGGCTGTGATGGTAGAGAGGTCTTACTCTTAATCGATATTGATGGTTGTAAACCATGAATGAGTAGTTGGGAGTTTGCTTGAGAGTTTGCTTCAACTTCTGAGATTATCAATGCTTAAAAATCCTAGAGAACATAAATAAATAAATAAATAAGATTAGGAATTGCAAACTCATATGACTAAAATCAACTCTAGAAAGTAAATAAAACTTCTCAAAACAAGAAATAAAACTCAACCCCACTTGGTCTTGGTTTCATTGTAAAATCTAGAAAATGAAACATCAATAGTGGAGAAAGCAATTACAGTGGTCTCTCCCCAAACTACGAAAAAGATGAAAATATTTTTGTGATCTTTTTTTTTTTTTTTTGCTTTTATGTTCGTTATGTTCTACACCAAATGTGAGAGATATAAAAGGGAAAAAAAAACACATGTACAAGGTTCACATATAACACAACCATCTCTTATTATTAGAATATTACATGTACATCTGTCAAAAATCTGCATTACTTCTATTCTATGCATGATCATTAATCACCTTACCTCCTAATAATAAATAAATAAAGCGAAAAGAGGAAGACATGATGACGAAGAGCTTTGATTTTAAATCAGTGAAATGTCTAATAAAACAATAGCAGGTCTTGACATCCATTCAATTCCAACAGTGCTCTCAATTTAACATTGAAGATCTCAAATTCAGCAGCTAATATGAATTGGGAAAGAGGGGAATTTGGGGATACCTTCGTATCGACTTTTGCTATTGCAGATTAGCTAAGAACGATGAACTCAATTTCCACTTGAGTTCGAGAGGGGAAAATTGGGATTGAATTGAAGACAGATTATTAACTCTTTAACATCCTGCTAGTTACAAAAATGGCAGAACATAGATTCACATAGATGAAACTCCCTAGTTACTCTGTTTTCATGTTGAGAAAGAGTAAGAAAGATAAAACAAGGTCTATAATCTTCTATCTAATTCTACAATTCCATAAACTGTAATCTCCAATTTCAACTACCCAACCAATTATTAACTCTCTATCATCATGATGGTCAGAAAAATGATAGAACAGAGATTCACAAAGATAAAAATCCTAATTAATCTGTTTTCTTGTTGAGAAAAAAATCCATAATCTTTCATCTAATCATATGATATTAGTATATCTTCATAGTTCCAATGCGTGTGAAAGACAATAAAATAAAGACCAAGTCACAAAGATGACAAACCCAGGTCCCTATTTGGTTGTCGAGAAAAAGGAAGAAAAACCCACAATGTTCTTGATATCTTGCAAGCTAATTCATCAGTACATGTTCATAAGTGCATCTACAAATATGTAAAAATAAATTACCCTAAAAAATCAATCATTAACTAGGTATTTGCCCTTATGGGTTTCTCAATCAGACCAAAAATAAAGCAAAAATAGCCGAAGAACAAGAGAGAACGAGAGAGAGAGAGAGAGAAAAATAAAGCAAAAATAGCCGAAGAACAAGAGAGAACGAGAGAGAGAGAGAGAGAGTGCTCACCACGCTGGAGAACTGTGTTAAGCACCAGTGAGATCCCTGGAGAACTCTGATCTCTAGCTGCTTTTGATGCTGGAACAGAGAATCTGGAACTCATCCATTGTTTACAACCCTCCCCATCCACTGTGTTCTCTTGTCGAAACTCATCCATTGTGTTTTCTATACATCTCTTATCGGAACTCTGATCTGGAGTGGGAGTGGGAGTGGGAGTGGGAGTAGGAGTGAGAGAGAGTGAGAAAACCCTAGCTGTGTCAAAACATAGGGAGAAATGAGCCCGACCCAATCCCTGATGGGGAATTAAATTAAAGGCTAGTTTGGCATGTACTAAATAAGTCAAAAAGTCAAAAAGTCACTATCTTATTTAAGTCACATCATCTTATTTAAATCACATCAGCTCTCTAACACATCACATCAAACCCAACTCAAACCCAACCCAAACCCACCAATAAGTCAAAAAGTGCACTTTTTTAGGACATCCCAAACCAACCCTAAATCTCCTACTAACCTGATGGATAGAAAAATAGAAACCAACCCTAAATCTCCTACTAACCTGATGGATAGAAAAATAGAAGAAACCTATATATTTCGAATAGGATCTTCATGAGTAATCATTGGATATGATTTTTATTGCCATCGCTAGTCAGTAGACCTTAATTAGAGCTCCACCATCCCAATCATGATTGTATCCCAAATTTTTAACCAGGACAAGCCACTGCCTAAAAATAGGACAGTGGTGATTCAGATCACCAAGTAGTGGCATGCACCTTAAAAAAAATAAAAAATAAAAAATAAATAAAGACAAAATATAAAAAAAAAAAGAAGATAAATTAGTGCTCTTTAATGCTTCTCTTGTAATGGTTTAAACCATTTTTCAGACAGTAATGTTAGAGATCTTTAATTTAAAAGCTCAAAACACATGAAAAAAAAGAAAAAGAAAACAAAACAAAACAAAACAAAACAAACAGACACATCACTGACAGTGGTGGCACCTCTAATTAGAATCCAAGCATTTTTCTTTTTCAAAACAGAAACAGAGAGCCTTCCTCTCCTTAAATTACAGTCCTCACTTTGTCAGTCAGTCACCGTCGCCGCCACCACCATCATGCCAAACTACCACCACCACCTTCTCCTCTCAACTGTCACACTCTTCCTCTGTCTCCCTCTCCTCTCCTCCTCACCCCACCACCACCTCCAAGAAGACACACCCATAACTCGCTTCCAACAATTCCTCAGAATCAACACAGCCCACCCAAACCCAGACTACTCCTCCTCAGTGTCTTTCCTCAAATCCCGAGCTCTCTCTCTCAATCTCCAAACCCAACTCCTCGAATTCTCCCCCAACAAGCCCCTCCTACTCCTCACCTGGCCTGGCTCAAACCCATCTCTCCCCTCCCTCCTCCTCAACTCCCACCTCGACTCCGTCCCGGCCGAGCCCTCCAAGTGGCTCCACCCCCCCTTCTCCGCCGTCTCCTCCGCCGGCAATATCTTCGCCCGCGGCGCCCAAGACGACAAATCCATCTCCCTCCAATACCTCGAAGCCATTCGAATCCTCCAAAACGATTTCAATTTCAAACCCGTTCGAACTGTCCATATATCCTATGTTCCTGATGAGGAAATTGGTGGGCTTGATGGGATGGCCAAGTTTGTGGAATCCCAAGTGTTTGATGAATTGAATTTGGGTTTTGTGTTGGATGAGGGCCAAGCTTCCCCAAATGATGAATTTAGGGTTTTTTACGCTGATAGGTCGCCGTGGAATGTGGTTATTAGGGCGTTGGGGGTGCCGGGGCACGGGTCCAGGATGTATGATAACAGTGCAATGGAGAATTTGATGAAGAGTATTGAGGTTATGAGTAAGTTTAGGGAGAACCAGTTTGATTTGGTTAAGGCAGGATTGGCCTCCAATTCGGAGGTTATTTCGGTGAATCCTGTGTATGTGAAAGCCGGGATTGTGTCCCCTACTGTGAGTTGTTGTGTTCATGTTATTGTGAATGCGTTTGATCGCTTAATTGTAGCATTTTTTTTTATTGGTATGACGTTGGTGGTGGGGTTAATGGGCTTGAATTATGCACGGTTTTGCAATGAATTAACATGCTTTGTGTTTGTGTTATTGCAATGCGTTCAATCATTACTGTTTTGATTGATATGATGATGGTCGTGGTATTAAAGGGCTTGAATTATCCAGGCCTTTTTTGTTACGATGAATATGATTGATTCATGTTTGTGATTTTGCTATGCATTTGATCACTTAACTGTAGTGTTTTTTATTGTTATGATGTTGATGGCGGTATTACGAAACCAAACCATACCAAACGAAACGAAGCCTTAAGTCTCATTAAATGGAGTCGGCTACCTGAATCATTCTTCTCCACGCGGCTCTATCAAAAGGCTATTTTGTTAGTCAAATTAAGTAGATTCATATCTCTATTTATAACGTTAGCTAACGTTAATCTAGACCTACCTGGTCCCTTAACACTTCCATCTACCATCACTGTATCGCATCTCTTCACTACTGTCTCTGTCTCTGTTGGTCTCTGTTGAATATGATCAAACCATCTCAATCGATTCTCTCTCAATTTATCTTCTATCGGTGCTACTGCTATCCATTCTTGAATACAATCATTCCTAATTTTATCTTGTCTAGCCTTGCCACACATCCACTTTAGCATTCTCATTTCAGCCACACTCATCTCATCTATATGTTGTTTCTTGATTGTCCAACACTCCATCTCATACAACATTGTTAGTCTAATAGCCGTTCTATAAAACTTACTTTTTAGTCTAGTGGGTATTCGTTTATCGCACAGTATCCCAGACGCACTTCTCCACTTACACCATCCCGCTTTAATCCTATGGGTCACATTTGCATCAATCTCCTCCGTTGTTGTGATAATCGACCCTGAATAATGAAAATGTTCACTTGGCAGTATTAATGGGTTTGAATTATGTAGGGTTTTGTGATGAATATGCAACCTTCGGAGGCAGAAGCAGGATTTGATCTTAGATTAACACCAACAGCAGACCTGGATATTCTGAGGAAAAGGATCGCAGATGAATGGGCACCAGCTACCAGAAATATGACTTATGAGGTGAATAATTGTCCTCATGTTCATAGATTCAAATTTTCTCTTAGTATCTAATCATGCGGTGTTTGAATATCTCTAAGAAGGTGGACAACTGCATTGTGTGAGATCATAAATACAACGGCTTATTTGTGTTTTGAATAGCTGTTAAATGTGGTGTTTTTTGGATACTTTTGACATGTTTGTAAGGGTGCTTCATGATTTCGACTATAACTACCTCAGGTTGTCATAATTTGTTGAGTTGACGTGTCTATTTGATAGGACGGCCATGGACATAGCAATGAGCAAAAACGAAATTTATATGTGAAGTCCATAAACTTAGCATGATAATTTTTCTAGTGAATTAAAAATTAAATGCCTAATAAAATGGTCATGCAACTCTTGGGAAGATTTTATAGTTGAAGATTAATCAATATGGTTGGATGATCTACTTTCACAATTTTAATTCAAATGGTAAAATTACATAAATAAGTGAATCTTAATGGATACCATTCATTTCATTCAAAACTAGTCTGCTCTTTAATGGTTAGCAACTGCTTATTCTCTCTCTCTCTCTCTCTACACACACACACTCACGTCTTTCTAAATGTCTCATATCTTATTGTAAATGTTTATATGAGCTACACATAGACTACTGTTTTGCATTATAATGCAGGGCCTAAAAAGTGATAGTAAAAATGGTCTTCATTATTGAATGCTTTTGACTTGTGTGGTGCGTTAGAGTTTCTTGAAATTGAGCCTTCTTTTTTCTTTTCTTGTCATACTTCTGTGGCTTTGGAAATGATTCTTTAAGGGAAACATCTAGTGTTTGACATAAAGTTGTCTTACAAGAATCATCCAAGGTTTTATCATATATAAAGCATGATCAGTGGCCAAATCTTAGATAATGGAGATCTGTTACCTTAATTCTTGCAGGCTAAATATATTTCTTAGACCCTTTGTCTGTTCCGTTGTAAGAATATAGTTCGGACATCAATTATAAATGATATACATAAATAGCTGAAGTTGCTTTGTCAGCAGAGGTATTCTATGGTTTAGTCATGCATGAAAGGAGTGCTTTGTTACTAATGGCTTTCAATTACCTTTTCTATACGTAAATCATTTCAATGTTAAAATGGAAGACTGCTATTGTTAATCTTCTACCCATTTATTTATTTATATAGTTGTGCTGCTGATGCTATTCTTGGGGCGTCAATGTTTCAGCTTAATTTTTCCTTGAGACTACACTTGAATCTTGATTTGACTACACTTGAATCTTGATTTAATTGGAAATAGTTCTAATAAAATGTTGGGCAAATTACCAAAAAAAACTCCAGAGTTTGATCCTTTTAACAAATCAAACCCACTAGTTTCAATTTCATCAGTTTAAACCCTCAATTTTTTATTTTATTTTTTATTTTGGAGCAATTTCAACCATCTGTCCGCTTCTGTTATTTTGGCTGACGGAGTAGTACTCGTGTCACTCTTTGATTTGCCATCTTAACTTGATATTACTCTTATACTTCAGGCTCAATTACACCAAATTACTATCATTATTTAGCATACATGGTATCAAACCCCATTACTAAACATCACCATCTTCTCTCATTCATTCTGCAATACCCACTGTAGCTCCATTTTCCTTTTTACCAGCGATCATCATCTTCCCAATCCCTCTTCCACCGCAACCATGGCGACTGCCACCCCTTCATTTATTCTTCTTCTTCCAACCTAGCCCAACCTGTCCTTGTGCTGTCACTGGAGATGGATTCAGCATAGTTTGCCATTGCCGGAAAATGTGAATCGGCAATGGACATGCAATTGCGTTTTCAACTTCAATCCAAACCCAGCCCAACCTCTGCCTTAGTGCCGTCAATTTTGGGGTTTCTATTTTGGCAAGGTGGAGAGATGAATCTGAGGGATGGGGGTTGTGGGGTAGGTTTGGCAAAAGAGGGAGGAGATGGGGTGGTGATGGAAAGTGGATCCGGGAAGGCGGTGGCGGTTGTCAAATAGAGCTGTGGCGAAAAAGGATGCCTTGTTTGGAACTATAGACAATTGGTTGATCTGGAATTTGATTGGAGGTGTTAATAATGGTTTGCCTGTTCGAATGCATCACAAACTTTGCTTATGGATCTGAAAACGCTTGATTGGGATAAACCAACATTGGAGAAACTCAAATTTCAAATGCATCACTTCTCCGGCTGCTTCTCTCCCTTGCTCTCTCACTCCGGCGTGACTCGCACCCCTTCTAGTCAGCCCAACCACTCCAGTGTTGTTCTCTCTCAATATATTGTATATATAATGTGTAAATACATCTCTATATATATAAGATATATACAGTCTATAGCTTAGATTGACAAAAATACCCTAACTTCGTTATATTTAACTGAAATAGATGGATGGCTTAAATTGTTCGGGAAAAAAAAATTTTGAGGGTAAAGGGTAAAACCTTGGGTTTTTTTTTTTTTTTTTGTAATTTGCCCTAAAATGTTTTGTTAGTTTAGTTGTCAATGCGCTTGAAATCTTGACTCTCTTGCTGGTTGTGTATTTTCCATTTCTGAAGTATGCGATGTTTTGAATTTTTCTAGATGTGAAAACTAAGATTTCTTCACTCCATATGTGGACCTGTTTGAATATACACAGGAAAGCCACAATTTAGCATCACTTGAATTTTTTTTCTTTTTTTGCTGTTTATACACAGGAAAGCCACAATTTAGCATCACTTGAATTTTTTTTCTTTTTTTGCTGTTCCTAATCTTGTTAGTTAAATAGGAAAGATGATTCATATAAGCAACCTATTAATCTGCTAAACGACCAACTTTGTATTAACAGTCCATTTACGATATCATTACGAATTTTTTTTTAAAAACAAATTGTCAACATGTGATCTGACATTAGCAAATTCTAATATTGGTAGAGAATGAGTTTATCAAGGGCATAGATCAAGAAAACTAAGCAACTCAAATGATGGTTTTAGCTCCTTCAAATCCTTTCTTTTGGACTATCCTTCCTGGGTATATAAGATTAGGATGAGAAAATTTAAGAGATACTGGAGTGCATGTTATGGAGTTCACTCTTCCCCTCACTGTGTTCAAAAGAAAACACCTGAAGATTTGGACCTCCCAAGGGTAGATATATCGAGAGAAGAAAGCCTTCTTTCAATTAATTGTCTTCTCCATTCATATTTGTTGCTAGGAAATCAGGCAATATCTTTTTACTATATGTTTGAGAATTGGTAATTTTTGAAGTTGGACGGAGTGGAATGTTGACGAGCATCATAGCTCTACTGGGCTTTGTTTGATTCAAGTGACTGTCTTTGACCTGAAGTTTATTTTGATGTAGATGCTATTGAAAAAGTTTATTGAAAGCTTCTGTGGTTATTATTAAGTAGTTTCGTAATCTAAGTACCTGTATATTATGTGATTTTGATTTTATTTTTCATATGATTTCTTGTAGATATGTTTATAAGCTTAGGTTTCAACTTGCAAGTAATGGCCAATTTTTGGCCAGGTTAATTATTTGAATTGAATTGACGAAATTAAGAATTTTGTAGTGTTCATGTATTTTGTGGGTCTTTTTAAGAATGATTTCCTATAGTTGTATAGGCGTTGGGTTTTCAAATCTCAAGCCATCTAAGGTATGGTTGGTACCTGTTGTTGCTTTCCTGCACCCAAACAACAAAATACAATAAATACTTTTAAACATACGATCTTCAGATTCAAGCAAATTAAAGCAATTGCCTTAAAAGTTTGATACCCATTAAATAAGTGTTTGACAACCCCATACATATAAATGAACTGTGGTTATTGAAGTGTCATCCGGCAGTGCTGACTTGTGTCTGACAACCTCATATATAGAACTGCAAATTGTGGTTATTGAAGTCTCAGCCAGCAGTACTTGCCACTTTCTGTTGACTCAATATGATATACCATTTTGATCTAAGCTCCTGGAATTGGAATAAGTTCGGCAGCGGATCACAAAAACTTACTGATCTTCTCTATCTAATGAATGGGGAGTCTTTTCTTCTCCTCAATAACCATAAGAAATGGTTATATGACTCCAATTTTTTTCATTACAATTACTCTGGTTGATTATTTTTTGTAATTTTTGTTTTCATTTTCATTTTCATTTTCATTTTTCGCTTTCTGTCTTCTTGCCAACTAAGTTCCGTAAGACTTCTGTTAATGTCATGTCAGATAATTGAGAAAGGACCGCTAAGAGACTATATGGGACGCCCCTTAATGACACCGACTAATGATTCCAACCCTTGGTGGTCGGTTTTCAAGCAAGCCATCACAGCTGCTGGTGGAAGACTTTCAAAACCCGAAATCCTGCCATCAACTACTGATGCTCGATTCATCAGACAGAAGGGAATTCCTGCCCTTGGTTTCTCCCCAATGAAGAATACTCCTATCTTACTTCACGATCATAATGAGGTCTGACAAGTTTACTTATCCTTCTTCTGTTTTCTTATTCCAAACACTACAGTTGATTATTGATTTTCTGTGTTTACAACTTTCTTGCAGTTTTTGAAGGATACGGTGTATTTGGAGGGTATTAAGGTATATGTCTCATTAATCAAATCTTTGAGTTCCTTTGAGGGAGCGACTTCTTTGTAATTTGTTAATTAATTGGAAAAAAATAAAAAAATAATAATTATCATGGCAATTTCTACTCAACTTCTCTCTTCTTTTTCTCTTCTTTTTTTTATTTTTTTATTTTTCCTACCAAATTTGTGTTGTATTATGCGTTGCTACTCTTCATTGATCACTTTGTTGTTACTGATCTTTATTAAACTTCAAGAAAGTGCCTTTGGCTTTGTGATTTTGCTCCTATTAATGCTGGGGAGTTTTATTGGTGTTTCTTGCCTAAATGTCTATAGTTTACTAGCCTTAATTTCTGTATATTGTTTTTTTTTAATTTATGAAAAGTGCTTATAAGTTGTTAAGCTTAACATTATGGTAATTCAAACTTAATACGCTGGTGTTGCTTATTATTTGGACAGTTGTTTGGGCTGTGTTTGGATTAAGATTTGCTAGGGGATTTGTGGAAAGGAAGGAAAAAATGAAAAAAATTTAGCTTTTATTTCATTTACTTTTCCTTTTCTTATCTCATTTTTTTTTTGGTTTCCCATTAATCACTTCTCAAATTCTTAATACAACACAATCTTAATAAAATGTCATTACTGTATGCTGTCTGCTTTTATCTACAAATCTGTAAAACTATATATATTGATTATAGATAATGGGCATAACTGTTGATTTCAGGATGCCTTTGTCATAGGTTTACAGAGGCCGTGGATGGGATGTGGTAAAACTCTTTTACATGTGTTTGGTGTAGTATGGTTGGATGTGTCTCAAGCTTAACTTAGGATCACTTGTTCCCTTCCATCTTGTTTTGTGTCGCAAATCCACGATCAGGCTGGAAAGAATTCTCGCGTGATTCAGAGAATTTTGGGTACTGCAGAAAGGAAAAGAGGATCCCAACTTGTTGAGCTTATACACGACATGCAAAATTTCACTAGGAAGTTTCGAGTTGAACTCTCATCCTCCTCAATGTTTAAAAAAACAAAAACAAAAATGCAAGTAGCAATTGTGCATTTGGTGACATGTAAAATTAGAACCTTTCCATTTTTGAGGAGGCGAGAAAGGAGAGTTGCTAAGTAGCTGGGGCAAGTGAACTCGCAACGGGTGACAGATGGTATAGACGGGAGCAACTTGAACACTTTAACCCATTCTCACCTCTATCGAAACTGAACCTCTCACAAGAAATTATTGAGGAAATGCCATTGGGTACAAAAATACAGTTCTCCAAAAAAAAAAAAAAAGAAAAGAAAGAAAGAAAAAAGAAAAAATCAAACAAACAGTACAAAACCACCGACAAATTTGAAGTTTAAAGAAAGGGTCCAACTATGGCACAAAATTAGTTGGTGTAGGTACCATATTAAAATATATATATTAATGAGTACCGTCATATAGGGTGGTAAGTAATCTGTAGGTCCTATTGTGTGGTAAGAAAATTCATATTATGTGATAAGTAGAATCAGTTTAAGTGGTAAATAAAGTTAAAAATTCATTTCATTTTCTGAAAAATTATTTCATTTTTGTATTTGGTTTTACTCATTTTGATTAATAGCTTGATTTTTGCCTTATCCTGATCTAAGCAAGATGGCACTTACACCCATCTTGTTTTTTTTTGTATCCAATTGTACCAAATTTCAATCAATAGGTGAAAATGTTTGGCATTCTTTTTCTAAAAGAGCAATAGTAGTCATGTTGCTGAAATCCATGAATGATGCAACAAAGGCATTCTAGAATGTTAGCTTGTAAAGGGTATGTCCAGGTTGCAGTAAAGTTGACGATTTAGAACCATATTATCAATGTAGTGTTTTGGAAAGATAATTAAGCCTCCGTTTGGGAAGTGGGTTGACTTTTTGGCTTTTTTAACCTGGGCTAGTTTAGCCTGGTTTGGGAAGGGCTTTTTGGCTTTTTTGACTTTTTTTGTGAGAGATGATTGTAATGATTATGAGTTGGATTTGATATTTTATTTTTTGTGGCTAAAATAGCATATTTTGTTTTTTGTGACTATTTTAGCCAAAAAAGCCTGGCTTTTTTCTTCCCAAACGGAGCCTAAAAGCAGCTTTTGGCTTTTTGGTGAGAGAAGAAAGTGGGTTAAAAGTTGGAAAGTGACTTTTAACCCAATTCCCAAAACACCCCACTATATCTATTATTTGCACTATATTTTTATTGATATTGTTGTACATCTTTCTAAAGATACCATACCTGCATGAATTATTGAGTTTTTTTGTTTTTGTTTTTGTTTTTTTTAAAATTATTTGTTGTACAAATTTTGTGTACATCATAGGAGGTTAGTTCCTCCTGGGCATTTTGAGTCAACAAAATTCGTCTCTTTAAAGATTATCTTTGTCTCTCTAACATAATAACCAGCTGGCACTACTACGTATGCCCATTACTTCTATGTATATGGATATGGTGCTTTTCGACCCACTTTCAATACATTCATGATTCAAACCCCCATTTTCACTCTCACCCATGCCCCCAACCCGAGGTTCAATTCTGTCTGAATCTTGATTTGTTCCTTGTTTCAAGCAATCTCTCTATTTGTACTCACTTCAAAATAATGGTATGGGCATATAGTATGGACAATATAGTTTATATATCGATTGATATTGAACAGTATTGGCCTATATATTCCGTGATGATTGTAATATAGACAATTTGGTGAGAGAATAGTCATAATGTCCAACCTTACTTTTGATTTACTAAAAAATATTACAAATAAAATTATCACCCACCATTGTGAGAGAATAATCATTTTATAAAGAAATTAGGAAATGATCATTTCATTCCATTCAATTTTATTTTAATGAACCAAACACTATATTATAGTATGATTAGTTTAAATATGAAATTTTACATATTTAAAAATAATAATAATTGAATTGGTGAATTATTTAAAAGTAATTGATTGTTGTTCGACAAATATATGAATTATTTACATAATATTGTTGACTATACCAATTAAAATTGTTTTTGGAGAAATAATTTTTAAAAAAGTTAAAATACATTAAAATTTACAATTCAATCTATTATGTAAGGAAAAAGCATGAATAAATTTATAATGTTAGTAATCGAAAATGTTCAAAATATATCTGAATAGTTATGTTTTACGTCTATCTCAATCTCAATGACTATGATTTATGATTTACATCAACTATAAAAATCATATGAAATCTTAGAAAATATAATATTATAACTATTATGAAAAATAAATTATAATTGATTTACCTACTAACACAATAATTTAAAATTCAATTTCCACTTAACATTTTATGTGATTTCCATGGATAAAGAATGGTAATTTTATTTTTTACATATATAACAAATTTTGTGTAGGTACTAACAAAAACAAATAAAAATAAATTAGATATTGTTTCTATTTTACTAATGTATATTTTAAAATATATACGAAGGTGGAGTCTCATTTTTTGAATTCGCCTTGTGCCCCAAAAATGTCAATATTGAAAGTTCAAAATCCTTTGCATGATCGCATAATATAGATATATTTTTTATTTTATTTAAATAAAAAAAATTGAATAGAATGAGGGAAATCCGGACGGGAGATCTCCTACCTCGCAAACAAATCTCATCCATTTTCTCAGGACAATTTGGAAACTTGTTAAAAAAGTTAATTTTTTTAGTTTTTTAGCTTTTTTACATAAAAATCTTTTGACAACAAGTTAAAAAAGTCAATTTTTTGACAAACCAACTTTTTTACACAAAAAAAAAAAAAATCAAAAAATTAACTTTTTATCAACTTTTTAAAACATCCTCGGATTTCTCTGAAGTAAGAATAGCTACCCATTTGATATCTAACTGATTGGGTCCTACTACCTCAGCTGGCTCGACGGCCCGCCAAAGTTTATTAATGAGGACTCTGCATTATTGTTACAAAATCTGTCCGTCTTTCATTAAAATGCCCAGGTACTACGGACAACGGCTGTCATGGGCCATTACAATTTTACGAGTGATTCTATTTGTACTTAAATAATAATTTTGATGAAAATTTTGAAATTTTAATTTTTATTATATTTTAATATAAATTTATTAATAAGGATAATATCAATTAAATCCTAAATTAAGATATATATATATATATATATATATTTTTTTTTTCTAATGGTATCACTTATATGTATTTTTCATATTCAATGTTCATCTTCTTCTCCAAATTTTAATTATTTTTTCTTTATCTTCTTCCTCACTCTAAAATTCCAATCTATTCCATCAAAACTCACAATTGTTATCAATATCATTATTTCTTATTGTGTTGTTACTTACAAATAGAATAAAATAATAACAGAATAATATGTGCCACTGTAAAAATAAAAATAAAAAATTGGAAATTGTCAAGAATACAATAATTTTTTTATTCAATTAATCAAATCAAAAAAAAAAAAAAAGTCTATTGTTCAATTAATCAAATCAAAAAATAAGTAATGTCTCATTTAACAACAACTGTTGGGAATTTTTAGATGGTTATTCACAAGTTTTAGTTCTTGGGAATTTTTAGATGGTTATTCAGAGATGCCATGGAGGTTTAACAACAACTGTGTTTTTCAATTTTCATGGAATTATCATGGGACTTTTCAACAAAATGTTTCATGGGGTTATCACTAATATAACAAGAATGCATATAAGTAAATATGATGTTATATAGACTAACTCACACCAATTGTTCTTTGTATGCGAATAAAATGGCTAGTTGTAATGAGAAATTTATTTAAGGGTTTTTGAATGGGTTTTTCAAAGTGGTATAATTTGGAATTTTTGATTAATTTATTATTTGGGTGTACTTTGAAGCGTAATTTGTGAAAAAATATAGAGTGTATTGAGAGTAAATCATAATCCTAAATAATTTACCGGAGTATATTAAAAAATTATGCATACTTAATAATTTTTTAAGTGTAAATAGAATCTCCCCATTTTTACCCACTTCATTTATATTATTGTTCTTGTTTCAAATTACAGTTCCTAATATAGATTTTTATGGCCTATTCGATGCAAATCTTATTTGGTTTTACTGGACATTATATTGGGCCGGTACAAATTTTCATTACTCGGTTTAATTAAACCAGTTTTGGGCATTCATGTTTTGGGCTATTACATTTTAATATGATTGACTCTTGTTTTACATATAAAAAATTATCGATTGATTTTAGTGCAGGGGAAGGATATGTCACAACCCAGGGGTGGGTGGTCTTGTGGTAAGAATATGAGGATTAAGACCTCAGGTCACGAGTTCAAATTCTCCTTGGG